GAGTGCGACCACTTTTAAAAGCACTGTATTGGATATATATATATATCCAATACAGTGCTTTTAAAAGTGGTCGCACTCTGAAGCACTCCACCAATTAAAAGCTCACAACATCAAGCCGATTTACAATGCTTCATATATATATATATATATATACTCCGTACTCTTGTTTGAGAACTGATAAAAGCTGTTGCTTCATTGCTGGTATTATTCTGCTGTAAACCTTTCCTTCTAACTTCAGCAGGTGGCAGCCTCTGGCTCTCCTTCTTTTGAAAGGCTGAGCAGAGTCATTTGCTTAGGATTTAAATCAGCAGCTCACAGGGCAGTGACTAAACTGGGAAGTCAAGATGCACCACAAAAGGTGGAAATGTGTAACCACTGTGCAAAACTGTCCAGGAGTTGAGGATGGCTTTGCTTTTTATTATCTCCTGCTTTTATATCACCAGGGAGACATAACTCTTGGTTCTTAGGTGAAACAGAAAGAGAAACCAGAACAGGCTTGTAGTAAACTTCCTTCTTGAAGCCTTCAAGACCACAAAGTAAAGGAGTTTGAAATCATATCCTGAAGAGCAAATGACAATCTCAAAGTCAAATTTTTCCCCCCAAATTAACACCCAAACTTTTGAGAGGAGATAAATATACCTGTTTTTTGTTCTTAGCTGGGCATCCCTTTGGTACAAGAACCACACAAATTGCCAGAGGTACCCCTTTATACAATATCTGCCCTCTCTCTTCCAGCAGACCTGGGCTGTTTTCCCAGAGGAAGGGCAAAGGAAAGAGACCGGTTTTTTTCTCACCTATACCTTGACCGAGATCACTGATACTCTGCAATCCTGAGAAGTGGCATCGGCAGTTAGTTGAACAGCTATCCGGGAGGAACCAAGCCTCTGCATTTTGGGGCATAAGTGGCATTACCTAGACTTCAAGGAGAAAGTAAAGAATTCCCTTCCCCATCATAGTTTTGTGTGTGATTGCAGCTTGATGCAACCCATACATATGTTACTAAAAAGAGATGATCTCTAGTTCAGTGTTCTCAATCTTGGTGATTTGAAAGTGTGTAGACTTCAGTTACCAGAATTCCCCAGCCAGCTTCAATTCTGGGAGCTGAAGTCTACACATCTTCAAATCACCAAGTTTAATAAACACTGTATGCTTCGTCCTTCCACTGCTTATTCATTCAATAATTACAAAGCAGTTATAGTTATTTACCTAACCAGTGTTTGAGAATCACTTTAGTGCTATCCCTCAATTACAACAATGTTTTTCACTTTACTTTTTGAGTAAGGAACAGATTCAAGAGTATAAACTTAATTTTATTTGAAAAAGAATGAATGAGATAGAAATATAACAATCACGCTATTTTAAATGATACCTTGCACCAATGACCCATTTTTAATTTCTTGCTTTAAAAAACAGCTTGGCTTTTAGTGCTACTTACCTGATACCTTGAAACATGGTTTGAAATGAACTTAAAACATGGCACCTAGTTTCTTTATATGATCTTTAAAGCTACCTAAATTTTAAACATTAAATTGTCTTAACCATAATTCTAAATATGTCATTTTTTAGGACAAAATAGCCAAGGTCTATGAATCACCTGGCTTCTTTCTGAGTCTGCAGCCCATCCCAGGAGCTATTGAAGCAATGCACGAGATGATTCAAATGCCCAAGTAAGGACCATTTGACATTAAGAACACTTTGGCATCAGCATACATTTTCTTCTTGTAATGGAGAATATCATGTCTTTTCAGCACTGAAGTTTTTATTTGCACAAGTCCTTTACGGAAATATGAATACTGCGTTTCAGAAAAGGTTGGCAATTGTCACTCTTCCTTCTTTCACTCTTAACATGCGAAGCACCTATCAATCAAGATGAGGGATTCTGTATGTTTTAAAACTCTTTTCTTTCTTTGGCTTTCCCTCCTTGTCTCCTCCCTGGTCAGTGGCTAATAACAAGACAATGTCAGAGCAGGTTTGGCTTTCATACCATGCTTCGGCTTTAGTTCTTCTGAGCTTACAGAAAAGTTCTGTCTTAGTCCAGGATACTAAACTCTTAAAAAGATTACTAGCCATTAAAATCCAAATCCTCCACTGCCCTATACAAACTGAAATCTTGCCACTACAAAGCCACTAAAGAATCAGATCCCTTTGAAGGAAAAAAAATACCAAGCATATATACTCCTTAATAAACAAAATATACACTCCATTCATCAAAATATTAATCCGATACTAATCAAATCAGCATATGCAATCGGGAAAGGCTACTACTATCTGATTTTAAAACTTGTAAGTGGCATTTTAGAAAGAATTATATTGTCCAATAGTTTATACATATGTAATTATACATATGCATCTTATGAAATATGCATAGTTAAGATGCTGAAGCTATTTTATCTGATTCATGTAGTAGTTTCCTAAGTTTGTTTCTGTCACCAAGATATGAAAGACTTGCTTTTTTATCTTCTGTCCACAATATTTATTAAATTATGAAGTTTTATGCCACCCTCCATCAAAATTATGAGGATAACAGACTAGTATCACTGACTAACTGTATAGGAAAGATTATTATCTGGAAATCAGTCTTAAGAGCTATCTTTCAAAGCTTGGAAAAATATGGAAAGTCAAGGAAAGCCAGTTTGTGTGGCTCTCCAATTTTTGCTGTATGGCAGCTTCTATCATCACTAGCCAGCCGAGCCCATTTGAAGATATTAGAAGAGTTGTAGGCCAGCCTCTCGAACAGAAGGAAAATTTAAATTCAAGAATGGGCTGACCTGATTTGAGTGTACGTAGAAAAACATCCCCCTCCCAAGCCCTAGAGCATCCCCATGGAAGAGAAAATTGCATAAAAGCTTTGAAGACAGCTGATTGCTCTGTTCTAAGCCTCATCCCTTCTTAGTTATGATCTAGAGCAGAGATTTTCAGGGTTTGTGAAATCCAGAAGCCACCTATTCCCTAGCCTTGTTAAGAATATAGTGAAATTAAAGGCTAAAACAGTGGAAAAGGTAACAGAAGGCATATTGCAATTCTGATAATAAACAAAAAAGGTGTTCCTGAAAGACAGTGCTAAGCAACTGCAGAGTCACAAAACACTCTCATAAATTTGAGATCAAACCTGCTTCTTAGCAATGTCATTTTCTACTTTAGGCATAATATATAGATATGGCTAAATATTTTTACAACCTCCAGCCAAAAATGTCATCATCCATTCCCGCTTTATATAATCACGTATATCAGGGGTGTCAAACTTGCAGCCCATGGGACACATGTGTCACGCGCTGGCCATGCCCACCCCTATTTTATCAAAGGAGAAAAAAGTCGTGATACGTCACGTGATGACATGACAATGCGAGTTTGACACCCCTGACCTGAATGGTTGAAAGAGATGTTTTGGAAAACCAAAGAATAAATTTCATTTGTTCCAGTATGACCCATATCTAAGTAATAATATGTAAGATTGTGTTTTAATTCTTGTGTGATAGAAAAATAGCTGTTAGGGTTGCTTTTTGACAACTTTATTCTCTTAATCACTATACATTTTAATCACCTTTTTTGTGAACCATATAGTGAGAACCTTTATTCTGTTAAAAAAAAAAGCAGCGCTAACCTGATGTACTTTCACCATTAAGGCCAAATTTTCATTTTTAAAGGAAATTTTAAGGAAAGGAAATTTTAAAGGAAATAGGATGGGCATGCTGCAGATCCCATCAGCAAAAGAATGTTAGTTCATGGGGACTAGAAGACAATTTTTTTCTGCAGCAGGCCTTGCTCTGTGCAAAGTCCTCTTTCTGGGGATTAGAATGGCCCTAACCCTGTTAGCCTTCTGAACAACTTTAAAGGCTTTACTGGCTATGCTCCCGAGACTGGGCTGCTACATGCGCCAAGAGCCCCGCCTCCCGGCTATATTGTTAACAGGCCAGATTTCTTGTTTTGAATGTACTCAAATTAGACGTTTTAATGATTTTTAGAGTTTTTATGGCCTTTACTGTTTTTGTTGTTTTAAAATGTTTTACGACTTGGAACTGTAATACAGGTTTCTGAATTGGGAGTAGGCCCAAAGTGATTTGCTGAGATGGGTGGCTATAGAAATCAAATAAATAAGCAAATAAATAATCAATCAATCAATCACCCAGACCTGTTCTTGGAGCTAGATTATCAGCCTATGCTTGTTTACTCAAAAATAAGATTATGTTCGTGAGTGTGTTCATTGAAATTTAAGGGATTGGTATATGTGTAAAGATTTATAATGTAGTGCTTTGCAAAATGAGCAAAAAAATTTGGATGTTTGGAGTGTGTCAGCAATTTGAGATACAAATCCAAGCATTCTGTCTTAAAGCTACATAGGGTAAGTCTACTAATTTTACCAAGTCTTATAGTAAAAAGAGCTTTCTTGAAAGCTGTAAGTACCTTTCTTCTAATAACTGCTTTCTTATCACTTGACAGTATGTATGGGTTGCGCAGCACTTGGGTCCTAAATTTGTGGAGCGACTAATTCTGACTCGAGATAAAACAGTTGTTTCAGCTGATCTGCTCATTGATGACAAAGACATCATTAAAGGTATAAGGATCTGTGCTACCACTTCAACTTTTCATCCAAGTGCTGTATTATATGGTTTATATTTTTAATGTCTCTTTCCACTTCTTCTCAGGGATAGAGCCAAATCCAAGCTGGGAACACATCTTGTTCTCTTGCTGTCACAACAAACATCTAAAGCTGCAGCCGCCACGGAGAAGGCTTGAATCTTGGACCAATGACTGGAAGGCGATACTGGAGAGCAAACGCTCCAAGTGAAGCATATAGAAAAGAACATTTATTTCAGCCACCATCAAAAAGCTCTGGGAAGTATTTGCTGATCACCAATGCCAATTGGAAACAGAGACAGGCCCTTCGAGTCAGATGATCCATATGGGAATAAGATTGTATCTTAATTCCAAATGCGCTTGACTGATTTATTAAAATATTAAATCCTTGGATGGAATGTTTGTTGTTTGCCTATTAATTAAACAAACAAAACAGCTCTAAAATGTAAGACAGCTCTTTGACTCATTATGTTCCCCCCACCCCGCTACTTACTGAAAAATATAATCAGTCAAATAACATATATTTCTATTCTCTCAGCTCCCCTCTACAGTAAGTCTAGAATATTTACCAAGGCCCTTTAGTTTATGGCACCTGGTTCATATTTCTAAATAACCTGAAAATGAATTGAAAAGCACATCAGAGTACGAAAGGACCCCCTAGGTCCTGAAAGTCCCCTGTATGCTTCCCAAGGGAAACTCTCAAGACTATTTACAGTCATTTTTAAAGCAGAATATCTGTCCAAATTCTTTTTCTTTTCCCTTCCCTTCATTCAGGGAGGATCTTGTTGGCTGCCTCCTGGGCTGCATTCATCCTTGGGCAGTGGGATCCCGATTGCCGTGTGCTTGGTTAGGTTCCTGGCCTGCTCCACCTGAAAGAGGCTGCAGTAATCCTCAAGGAAAATAGTGGCCAGGTTTTTCAGCCTTCTGTTGTTTGAGAGGGAGAAGCGCAGCATGCACTCAATCACAGGGAGGGTGGTGATCTCTTGGCGGGACTGGGATGTGGACAAGTACATCAGAGTTGTAACTGCAGACAGGACCGTCTCTTCATTGGCACTGGCCAGGCAGTTGACAACAGCTGACACTCCACCGGCCTCTAGTATGTAGTCTTTGTTGATTTTGTCCAGGCAGAGATTACAGAGTCCTCCTGAAAAATAAGAAAATAAGGTGGTAAAGATAGTAACAGAGTGGTTTGGTCAATCTCATCTTAATAATAATCTACATTTCAGTAGTTTTAAGACAACTTGATATCTTGTTTCTGTCCACAAATGGTTTGGCGCTATATCTGATACAAGTACGCTACTGAACTGTTCATTTGGTGACCATTTGAGAGAATGTTATTTTATACTACTGCTCTTAGCTGTACTCTGCCTTATGTTTGCTGATGTATTTTGCTAGTGTCCTCTTGCCATCATTTTTTAAATCTATTTTCTGTAATATCCTACCCAGTTCTTCAACCTACTTGCATACCTTTGCCAGATAATTCTTAAGCCAAGGATGAGGAAACTAGTCTTCCCACTTCTCTGATCATTGTTTATGCAGAGGCTTCTGGAACTTTTGGTTTAGCAATATATTACGTAATTACAGGTTCTTCTTCACAGCTTAAAGTGAAGACAGAGTTGAGCACTGCAATGGAATAGGCTAATATGCTAGCTTCTCCTATGTCCTAACTATTGAGAAATGATTCTGTTTCATGGAAAATGTTGAAATCCAGGCCTTACCAAGTGCAAATTCCACAAGATTGTCATTTTCCTCAGTGAGCATATCCAGAAACAGATCCAAGACCTTGAGTTGTCGCAGATATTCATAATTTTGGGGGTTATAAGCAAAATTGGCCAGATTAGCCAACACTTGCTCTTTGGCATCTGCAACATAAATAAAAGAACTCTTAATATTAAAAAGCACCTGTAAAAGTCAATGTAGAAGTACAAACTGACCAATAAATTACACTCACCTGAACTATCTGTCACTTGGAATTCAGTGACTAAGGCCTGCAAGTATTCAAGCCGACTGAGGCCTGCCAACTCCTTCTGATTTCGGGACATACTGGTAGATGCTAGGTAAATAGAAGACAAAACAGTATTAAGAACATCATTTGGTGTTATGGCAGGTATCAATACTTATTATAAATGTGTGCATTTCAATTATCCCAGTGTATGTAATTCAATTCCATCTTCAAAAATACCAGAATGGTATATAAAAGTATTGCTAGGTAACCGTGCACAATAACACTCTTAGTAATAATTTTGACATAAAGATTATAATGCTTCTTTTCCAGCAAGTTCATGTGACTGATGGCATTTGTTAGATTTTATTTATTTTATTTTTAGAGTAGGCAGGATTTCTAATTCTAATTTTTTGCTTTTGTTTAGGATCCAAATTGAATTAATTTTTTCAGCTTTAGATTTATTTAATATCTTAATTAAATCTTCCTTCCACCTGGATCACAGTAAAGGTGAATTTGCCAAATCTTAGGATATAGCACATTTTCCCTAGACTAGCTGCACTGTTGTAATATAAAGAAGACTAATTCTGCTCTATCACTATTTTAAAATATGATTGTAAATGTATGCTTAAGAGAACTCTGGTATTCCAATGAAACACAAAAGTTATGTGTCAAGCATTTGTTTATGTCAGTCACATTCAAGTTACAAGGATGTGGGGTCAGTTCAGAAGGATTTATCAACTTGTTCTGGGAATAGCTACTGATGAATGTTTCCTTTAACAATTTTGAAATGCAAGCATTGTCACATATTTTATTTATTTGTATCCCACCTTTATTATTTTTACAAATACCATAACTCAAGGTGGGGTTTCATTTAACAATATCCCATTTAAAATGTAAGCATTGTCACATATTCTATTTATTTATTTGTATCCCACCTTTATTATTTTTACAAATACCATAACTCAAGGTGGGGTTTCATTTAACAATATCCCATTTAAAATGTAAGCATTGTCACATATTCTATTTATTTATTTGTATCCCACCTTTATTATTATTTTTACAAATACAGTAACTCAAGGTGGTGTTTCCTTTAACAAATCCCATTTAAAATGCAAGCATTGCCACATATTCTATTTATGTATTTGTATCCCTTTATTATTATTTTTACAAATACCGTAACTCAAGGTGGTGAACATATCCAACACATCTTCTTCCTATTTTCCCTACAACAATATCCCTGTGAAGTGCGTTGGGCTAAAGGAAGTATGGGTGACCCAAAATCACCCAGCTGGTTTTCATGCCTAAGGCAGGACTTGAACTCAAGGCTTGTTATCTGATTAGCTTGTTAACATGGTAGCTCTATAAATTTGCCATAACATTGAAATATAGAATAACAGAGTTGGAAGGGACCTTTAAGGTCTTCTAGTCAAACTCCCTGCTTAGACTGGAAACCTAGAAAAATTGGTATGTTTCTAACAGCGTTCCTTTTGTGTCCGTGGCAAATAAAATTTCATTTTCAGCTCCAAGTTTTAACATAGCAGTATAAATTTTAATAACAGCAATATACTGCTTTACAGCCCTCTCTAATCAAACATCTAAACAACAAAGGATTCTGTTAAAACCTATGTTAAGACCTAAGGATCTTATTTCTTCATTCAGGCAACTAAGCTAATACAAATATTTACCTTCCTTTGCATATTTTTTTCATATAAAAAGAAACCACAGTAATCATCAATACTACATTCGTGAGTGTAATGCTAATACGAAAAAGTTCCTAAAAGAAAACAGAGCCATCGCTTTTCCCACCTGCTGAATTACCGAATTCTGCAACTATGCGCCTGAATTCCCATCAAGTCCTTGGAGAGGGGGAAGAGACAAGAAATCAATATCCCAGTAAAGACCTGCAGCGCTAAAGTTAAAGCGAAACAGGAAGCCGGAAGTTACGTTTAGGGAACCGGGAAAGGTCGTCCCCAACGACACAGAGAGCCTCGTCCCCACGTGCTGTAGTTCCGTCTTTGGTGCGGAATCCCTCTGAAAGATTCGGTAGGCGGAGCTTCTGCAGCTGCTGCGGGCGCCGCCTCTTCTCGGCGGTGGCTGGTCTCTCGGTGATGAATGCTGCGGGAAGCATCGCTGATATTCGGGGTGGTCGCTTTCGCCCACGGCTGGCGGGTCGCAAGGGGCGCCCCGACCCAGTGGGAAGAAGTTGTGGACCCACGATGTTTCGAAAATAAAGTTTCATATCTATTTAGGAGTTTAAAAAGCCTCTTAGACAGATCGGAGTAAAAACTCAACGTTCGCTGAAAATTGAAATGGAGATTCTCAGTCACCAACCACGTCGTGGTTGTCCCAAAGACGTTTTTTCAAGAGTCAACTGGACTTCCTTGGGTTTTTCTTTGAAGACGTTTCGCGTCTCATCCAAGAAGCTTCTTCAGCTCTGACTGGATGGTGGGGGATGGAAGGATTTACACTCTTTCCAGACAGCTGGACATTTGCATTCTTTAAGAGATTCGTCGAGGCCATTTGGAGGTTTATCTGTGTGGTCAGGATCACTTGAGTGGTGCAAATGGGTGTGAACTCTTCTTGAAACTGTTGAAAGGACTGTGTTTGAACAGTCCTCTCTCAATAGAGGGGGAGAGATAGGACATCATCTATCTCCAGTCTACAACACAGTCCTTTCATCAGTTTCAGGAAGGCTCCACAACCATTTGCACCATTCAGATGACCCTAATACCTCCAGGTTGCCTCAGCGACTCTCTAAAACAGGGGTGTCAAACATCACATTGTCGTCACATGATGTTTCGTGACATTTCCCCCTTCGCAGAGCTGGGGTGGACGTGGCCTGTGTGTGACACATCCAGCCTGTGGGCCGCCAGTTTGATACCCCGGCTCTAAAAGAATGCAAATGACCAGCTGTCTGCAAGGAATATAAATCCTTCCATTCCCCACCATCCAGTCAGAGCTAAAGAAGCTTCTTGGATGAGAAGCGAAACGTCTTCAAAGAAAAAAAAAAAAAACCAGGTAAGTCCAGTTGACTCTTGAAAAAGCATCTTTGATTTTCAGAGCAAATTCATCATGAGGCTATCAGACTAAAAGGCTACTCCTAGAAGCCACTTATGCTGAGCATGACTAGGCAAGGGTCTGAAGGTGTCCCTCCAATGCACATATTTAGGAGCAAACCCCTGGGCGTAGCAGAAAGGGCTGAAAGTGTATAGGATGGCGCTGGGAGGAGGTCAAAAATAAGGCTCCTTCATTAGAGCTTAAGCTTCTGGCAACTTAATATACCTGTACTTTTCTTGGCAGTAGTTTAGCTGACAATATGCTTGTGGGTTTGTATCACCGTATTAATTAGGTCCCGGTCCTGCTTAGTTTTTTACCCTTGCAAGGTCCTCCCAATCCAATAATTGTGGTCTTCCTACTCAGCTTAATTGGGGTGGAAAATAGAAGCATTTCTTA